AAAAACCTTCTGGAATAGTTCCTGATTTAATGTATTCTACCAAAAACTTTTGTTTCATTGCTTCAGTGACTTTATTTGTCATTTCAATCAAATAAAAATTTTAATATTAAATAAAAATAACGTTATTTTTTTCAGTAAGGAAACGCAGGAGTTTTACGATTTATTTGAGGAGTAGGTTCTGGTTTAAATGTTGGAGTCGGTTTAGGAGTTGACTTTTGAACAGGAGTTTGTACTTCCATAGGTTCAGGAGTCATTGAAGGTTTTGCTTGTGAAGGTGTTGGAGTTTGTTTAACTTCAGCTACTTCAGTATTATTTACAACATTTGCTTTATTTCTTTTCAACATCATAACTGCTCCTGCTGTAGCTAGCAAACCTAGTGGGAGACCATATCTTATATAAGGACTTGACCAAATGCTATTTTTGACAGGAGCTGGTGGAACACCTAACCTTGGTGAGACTGCTCTTTGCCATTGTGCAGCTCGTAAGAAATATTCAATAGGTGCTCCATAATCGTTTGGTAAAGTTTGTTTCATAGATGGTGAAGGTTCACGAGAGCTTGATGAAGAACTCATTTATAAGCTTTAAAAATAAACGTTCATCCTTTATTCCTCACTGTCGTCCGTAGCTAAGTTATAGTCATCTAATCTTATTATGGGGATGCCATTAGTACGCACCTGAATGGCAAAGCAACAATCCCTCATAAATCCAATAAGTGGCTTTGGTACATTTTCAGTTGCTAGTTCAATAGGTCCTTTAACAGACAATTTGTATGTTATTGGAGCAGTAGATGTTTGACCTTGCTGGAAGCAAAAGTCCACTTCTGTTGGAAAACCACATAAGAAATGTGTGTTGTCATAGCTATCCCATTTATGTTCCACACTACCATCATCCACCAATGACCTCATAACATCTTCATTAAATCCTATCATATCATTGTTTGTATTGCAGGCGTTCGCAACCATTTCATAAAATACAGGTCCATATGATTTTTCAGGTTCTGCAGGCATATTTCCATAAGCTCCCATGGAAAGCTGAAGATATTTAAACTTAGGGTTCTCAAAATTAACATAATAGTTGTCTTTCTTTCTAAATAGTGCCCAAATACTTTTAACATTAATAGGCGTATAAGCTGCTGTAAATGTTGCACTTGAACTATCTGTATTCTTTGAGAATGAACCATCCATAGGAATCCAATCCATAACTTTAACAGGGAAACATAAAGCCTCGTTTGTATAATGTTCTACAAGTTCTGTATAAATGTTAGGGTCTAAAGAGAATGACTTTGGATGAATGAAACATTCATTAAAATCCATCTTTGTTCGAAATAGTTGCTGGGTTACAGTTGTAATAGTAACTGTTCCACTAGCTTCTACTGCCTTCGTTATCATAGTGAATGGTTCATTCCATGGAACAAATTTATTTGTCGGTGGATTTGAATCTGAAGCAAATGCAACTTTAAGAGTTGGATTGAAAGCAATGATATCATTTACAGATATAGATGTGCATTGTAAGGCGTCGCTACTGAACTTTACTTTAAGCTGAATGTTTCCTGCAAAAGCTGGAATAAATCGAATAGCTTCTAATGGAAGGAATCTTCTAACAGGAATTCTTAAACGAAGCTTAAAATCAAATGATTTTCCTGCTGTAATTGGACCACTAACAATTTGTCCTGTTCTGCATGTTCCCGAATGACTCCATACATCTTCATGTCGAGTCTTTGAGAAAACATCTACTTTCTTTATTTGTTCGGTAGTTTGTGAGTTTGAAGTTATATATGCTTCTTCTCTTGCGTTGTCTTGAGAATATACGATACGACCATTTGCAAGGATTTGATATCCAGCAACTGCATAGAAAGCGTCATCGAAACCAATCCAAAATCCTGGTGGGTTTGTTTTATTGGAACCTGAACCAATTTCTTTATCTGCAATAAATTGACCTTCCATTTTATACGTAATGAATGTATTGTAAAGGTCCAACATATTTTCACCAGGAGGTGAGAGATTGAATGTTACCCATGTGTTATCTTTAGCAGTTCCAGGTTGTGATGGAATCTTTGCGTCAGAATATTTTCTATTAGTGTCACCAATTTGAACTGTATTGTCTATGATATCGAAATATGAGCGAATCTGATGAATATGCTCTGCTGGAGTAAATTCGTTTAACTGTTCGTTCTGCATGTATTTACTTCGGATAAAAATATCTATTTACTTCATTATTCTCACTCTTCTTCTTGGCATTCGTGGTGGAAGTTGTTTCTTGACATTTTCAATGAACTGTACATTCTCTTTTGTCTCAACTTCTTTCACTGGCGGGTCAGGATTCTTTGACTCGGTTTGTTTTTCAATGAAATTCACGAACTTTGCAATAAGCTCTTGGTTCGTTATTGAAAGTACATCTGGCTTCTTTTCTTCTGGTTCTATTGACTTTTCAGTTTGAACAGAAGGTTTTATATGGGCTTCGTGGACTTCACCCTTACCATACACCTTAATGTTGTCGCTTTCTGCATTCGCTAATGGAACCTTTCTTTTTCTTACGTATATTTTACCATCTTTACTCTGACTTACGTAATAGAAAGGATGTTGTATTCCTCTTGCGTCATTTAATATAATAGACTCTCGCTCTGATTTTGACAAGCTCATTTTACATCGGTTAAAGTTTTAATTTTGTTTTTTATCTGCAGTCAAATGACTCAGACAAGCCCTACGGACAAGACCCAAGGGGTCATAGATGTTGAAGCATTGAAGAAAGAAATTCGTGAGCAAATTTTATCCGAACTGAAGGAACAAAAACAAGAACAAAATCCAGAGAGACCAAAGAGAAAACTTAGTGAAAAACAACTTGCTGCATTAGCTGCTGGAAGACAGAAGAACCCACGTTTGCTGGCGAAGAAAGCTAGAGAAGAAGCTGAAGCAAAAGCTAAAAAAGCTGAAGCAAAGAAAGAGTAAATGGTTTATTTTTATCAGAATTAAATGTATAGACAAATACCTTTATCTGTTGCTTTCAGTAGTGAAAACCCTGACGTCAAAATAAAGGGGAACAGAGTAACGTTTAAGTTTCCAACAGACTGGATTGTGAACATAAATGAAGAGAAGTACATTGGCATAACATCTATGTATATAACACGTGCTTTCAGAAAGGTTGACTTTATACTTCAAGTCGAGATAGAAAATGACGAACAGTCTTTAAGCGCCCAAAACATTCACATATACAAATACTTTAAAGACGATACAACATTGCAACAATGTATGATTTCATTTAATGAGATGTTCGAGAAAAAGTTCAACATTGAAGTACAAACTTTACAGCCTTTACGTGAGTTTCTTGCACAACTGAAAGAAGAAGGTAGTCAGCCACAACTTATAGACTTTCATTATGAATTTAATGAAAATGAAGATGGAACTCATGACTGTCAGTTTGTTGTATTCTCACCATTCAATGAAGTCGCTAAAAAGAAAGAAAATCCATTACGTATAAGATTTCAAATCTCTGAACCAAGTGATGATTTCAAGAATGTTTTCAATTATGATGCAATGCTTCCGAGGAAAAATGAATTTTCAAAGATTGTAACACCTGGCATTTGGGATAGAAAGCAAGCTATATTATATTCAAACTTAAGTAAGGGAGTTGAAAATGAGTTCATTGGTCATACAAGAACTACACCACTGCCAAATCCTAAATACTATAAATTAACTGGCTTCAATCGTGAGTTTTGGATAGACATGTTCTCCACTCATGACCATAACTGCCCAGTGTTCTTACCTCCAGACCATAAGGACTGTCTCTACATTGAAGCACAACTCTTAAATTCTACAATAGCTGTATTGTAAAATCTACGCTAGCTTTATTTTTATCACGAATGACCTCATTGCTGACAAAAATAAATGACCTCATTCATGATCTCATTGCTGACCTCATTCATGACCTCATTCATGACCCCATTCATGACCTCATTCATGACCTCACTGCTGACAAAAATAAATGACCTCAGAACTTCAACTTACGAATAAAGCTTGTTTTAGTCGTTATTGAGAAGTTAAACTTCTCTTCAAAGCAAGGTTGACATGACTTACATAAGTCAAATCCAATCTCTTGACCGTCATAAAGTGCTTTATATAACTTCATAACACTGAACTCAGAGTCTTTGTCAAATTTTCCTTGCGGAACCATTAAACCTTTATCTTCATCATAGAAACACTGAACAGAGTCAGGAAACATTTCATTAGCGGTTAAAGCAATAACATCTTGCTTCACGCCTTTCATTCTGCAGTGAAATGCAACTTCATTTAAATCATTCGTGAGTAAGTCTATGTAAGTCTTCTTTCCACAAAATATTGACTTGTATGCTAAACTTTGTTTTCCAGGTGTTATTTCTGCGAAGTCACTATGAAACTGACCAAGGTTTTTACCAATGAGAACTCTTCCATAACGTTTCTCAAACTCTTCAGCTAAACGAGGGATATCTTCATTGTAGAGATGCATACTGTCGGTGTCGCTATAAAAGATGTCCATTCCTAAGTCTTCAGCAGTACAGAATACTTCACACATTATTCTCTTCGACATAGATAGAATGTTAACACCAAGTGGACAGAAGTTAAAGTGTCTGCAAATGCTTTTCGTTAGCTTGAAAATAGTTTTATCTGAACCATCCAAACCTTCGAACTTCACTATATGGTTGTAGTTTCTGATGGCATATCTTATAGCATCTTTGTCATTTACTATGGTTATTTTTGACTCAATAGGAGATAGAATAGTTTTGCCATAAATACTGTTCAGAATGAGCTTTATATTTTCTTGCAAAGGATTTCCTTCTTTCTTATACTTTAACCTTAACTCAAACAACTTCTTTACTTCATCTCTTATTCTAATATCTCTGTTTCCATCGTAATAGTATCCTTGCAACACTTCACATTTGACACCTTGATATTTTATGAGGTCTTGTAATGTTATATGGTCAACATACATGAGACAGCAAGTGTTTGAACTTCTGGGAACGTTAAGTTCTGGATTTAGTTCAGGGTCACAAACTATTAAAGGAAAGTGTCTATGTATTCCAATCTCTGTTATCTTAATGAGAACAAAGAAGCCGGACATAAACTTTTCACCAATGGGTTCCTTTTGGTCGTCATCGAATAAATGTCTCATGAGATACTCTGTGCTTAGCATCTCATCCTTCAATACTTTTGGAATTCCTTCTAAAGTATACAATCTTGCTATAGCTGATGGATATAATGAAACAGCGTCGAAGTCAGCAATGAGTTTCTTTTTGCTCTTTTGTTTCATGTTATCTGACAACATACATCTTCCACCTTGAATGCATCTCGAAATAAATTCTCTTGGTTTATTTGAGAGGTCATAAAGATTTCCATTCGGGAAGTACACTCTGTTCTCAAATAATTTGTTAGCAATTGAACAAATACTAACGTAGTCATAAACGTTTAAATCAAATTCTTTCAATATGTCATTGCGGAACTTAACAAAACCTTCTCTTAAAATTCTTACATCTTGTTTGCAATAAAACGTGCTATATTTTTCTAAGTCGAAGTGGTTCTCATCTATTCTGCAACCTTTGATGGAATCTATGTTCTTCATGAACGTTTCAATATCTTTTACAAACTTACATGCTTCAGAAATGACACCAGTTCTGTTGTCATTTGCTAACAAAACACTGCTGTAGTAGTTGTATGGAAATACTTCTTTCGGTCCTGTTTGTAAGTTAAACATAGCAGGAAATAGTTTAAGTTTCTTATTTATAACACTGTAAGAGTCTTTTATAATAATTGCCCTTCCTTTATATAAGCCAGTTATTTGCATTGTTCGTGAACCTTTAATGATGGGAGTTCCTTTCACTTCTGTCATGTGTCTTAAGATGAAGTTTATATCATAACTGAGGTTATGGAAATATATTAAACTCTTGTCAGGAAGTCGCTCCAAAAATTCTGTTGCACAGTTCTGACCCCAAATGCTTTCACTCACTGAACCATCTTCACTGTCATAACAGATGTTAAAAGCTTTATGAAAGCCATCCGTACTACACTCAAAGTCAGCAAAGAAAACGTGCTCAGGAATGAACTTGCACTTATTTTTATTTACTTCTTTTGACTCGGCTTTCTTCTTCAGTTGTACACAATACTTTGGAGCATATGTCAAATCTTTAAATGGTGCAAGGTTCTGTTTATATAAGTCAGTCGTATATGTGAAAAGTTTTCCATAAGAAATAGGTTCGAAATATTTGCACTCCCACAATGTTTTCATAACATCCCATAGCGGTGTAGTTCTATCCATGCGAACTACATATTTATCTTCTCTCTTTGTATAAATCTTCATCTGTTTCTCAATGTTAATTCCACCACACTCCTTCAAGATTTCTATATAGTTGCGAATGAAATATGTTGTCATTGGAAGTCTTTCATTTAGCATGTAGTGGTCTTCAACAAGAAGTAAGTCAATAGTTCGAGCAGTTTCACATTCTTTTGGTATGTATCTCTTTATTTCATTATGTCTTGAGTCATTGAAGTAACCAATGGTAACATTAAATGCTATACCTGTTGCGTCAGAAATTTCTTGTACTTTACTTTGAGGAAAGTCTCTAACACGAATGACTTCTCTCATGTGGTCAATAGTTTCTTCATCTACTTCAGCCTGAATGCAAGCATAAACGAAACAATTGTCTTCTGTCATAAGTGCTGCAGTTCTTTTGTTCAATTCATTGAAGATTTGGTAGCGCTCAAGATTTATAGGTAATGTGCAAAGATACTTCCAGAACTGACCGCTTCTCTTCTTATAAAACTTCTTTTCACCAAGGATTTCATTCCAGAAGTCATCTATATCTTGTTTATCTCCTGTTTGTTTAAGTCTGTTCAATAATCTTTTCTGTCTTTCTGTCAGTGTGCTTTCATCTCTATATGGTCTCTTTTTTGGTTTGCCTTTCTTTACATCTGACATCGTTAAGCCTTCATATTCTGTTAAATCATACATCTTTATTTCAGTAAGATTCTTTATGTTTGTCAAGAAGAAGTCATAGTGCATTTCAACAATACCTGCAGCATTTGCTTCTATCTCTGATATAAAGTTCTCCTTCAAGAGCTGATGTAGTAATGTTCCAATATTATTGAGGTTTAACGTAGAACATTCATACTTTCCACCAAGTTTATAACATACCATCCATCTTTGTTGGGAGTTTATTTTAATCTTCTCTAAGAGTCTCATGAAAACCTTACCGAAATGTTTGTGTAAGTAGTCTCTGTTTGGTTCATCTAAAGCTTCGATGTTAAAGTCAATGAGTCTATTGCCTGACTTCACATTTCTCTTCCTATTCTCTTCATCTTTCTTTAACCATCTCTCACCTTCTTTTGGTTTGTCGTCAATGGAACGAATGACATCGTTAGCTTTGCGAACTTGTTCTATAGCGCTCTTAAACATCTCTCTTCTCTGTTGTTTCAGTGTGTCGTCTCTCTTTCGTGTTTCACCAACGTTTGCATTTGTTATGTCAAACATCTCTTGACGAACATCATGCGAAAGAGCTTTACGAGTATGACCAACGTTCGCATTTGTTATGTCAAACATCTCTTGACGAACATCATGAGGTACTGAACGTCTATGATATAAGTCAATAGCAACGTCATTTAAAGGAAATGCTCTTGCATGGACTTCGTCCTCGCCGCGTTGCGGCTTTATGAACTCATGAATTCTATCATAACTTATTGCACCATTATAGTCATTGAGGATGTCAGCGAGTGCTTTTTTGTTTGTCGAGTAATGCTTTGCTACTTCTATGTTAGCTTCTGTAAGAAGTTGTTTTATTTCCGAGTGTTCTAACTTAGACAACTTCCGATACATCTTTAGTAGGAAATAAAAAAATATTTTTGAAAAAATTAAAATAAAAATATTAAAGTTATTTTTCAAAATAATTTAATATTTTTATTTTAATGAAACACATGCAAGATTGCAAGTTCTTTTCATACAATGCTCTCGCTACTGCCATCAAGAATGAGTTCAATAATGCTTCAAATGTTAATGTTATCTTTAACAAGAAGTTTGTGAAAGAATCTAAGTTTGGTCAGTATGTCAGACCATTAGCTATCGTCATTGACCGCAAACGTTATACTTCACAAGAGTTAGCAGTAGTTTTGAAACAAAAGAGTTTCTTCGTGAATGTCAAAGATACTCATTATACTGTTATAAAGAACTCTAACATTGACTTCTTCAGTATTGCTTTAAATCTTTCCGAACAGAAAGAATATAAGAAGGGTGAAACAAATGTGAAATATTATCCTTCATCTCTGAAGACAATAACGAACAAAGATGTTATACAGAAATTCTTACCAAAGGTTGAAGAAGCTTCTATTGACATTGACGAAGGAAGTGAAATGGTTGAAGAAATAGACCCTGAAGTTATTTAAGCAAAAATATATTTTTGAATAACTGAAAGTGTCACCACGTCACCATGTGCTACCAGGTTAATTAACTTCTTTTAAAAATGATGACAACATGACATTTTGACAACAGTCCAGGATTAATGCAAAAATGAATGTTATCGTTAATGTTATCGTTAATGTTATCGTTTATGTTATCAGTGTCGAACATAATTGACGTAGGATTCATGACTTCTTCGTAAATGAGTGTAAATATAGCACAAAAATATATTTTAGGTGAAGAGGTGAGATCTCACCCGTTTTTTCACCTCTTTTTTCACCTCATTCTCTTTTCGTTAATGTTGTCGTGACTTCATTCTTCCTCTTTGAAGTTATCGAAATATTCTGTTATTTTTTCCTTCAGTAATGTTAAGTCTTCTTTGAATGTAAGTATTGTGCAACCTTTGATGTCATAGTGTGTTTGAGGAAGAGTATTTTTGACAATTTCCTTTATTTGCTCATTCGGTGTCATTGAAATCGGTAAGTTTTCACGATAGAACCAGTTTCTGTCAGATTTATATATTTTAGCTAAGTCATAAAAGCTCTTGTTGTTTCTTCTGACTAAATGCAACATAACCATATCTTTATCTTCTTCTTTCTCCAATTCTTCAGTATATATCATATACCTATAACTCTTTTCCTTTCCTTTTGGTACTGAACGTGGTATTCTTTTCTGTATGCTTTTGTCTTTGGATTCAATGACTTCATCTTTTGCATGAAGTTTCTTTTCCATCTCTCCACGTTCTGCTTTATATAGTTCATCTAACATCATGAAAATATAACAAGCATAACGAGGTGAAGCCCATATTGCTACAGCGTTTACTAAAAGTCTATGAACATAATAACCTTTCAAACCAGGAGCCAAATTCTTGCGATTTTCATACGGAATCTCTTCTCTCGGTTTTCCGAGGGAAGCAATCATATGAGGAAATTCTTCTAAAAGTTCTTTTGTCTGTTGGTTTTCAAACCAATGATATGCTTGCTTTGTAGAACGAAGAGCATTCATTATACTTTGCATTTGGTACATGTCATCTTTGACTGAACGAATGAGACGTAACTGTTTGTTATACTGTATGTACTCGTATTCTTCATTTATGGCTTCATGAACGATAGCAGTTGTTGTGTTCTCTGATGTTGACATTACTGTCTTTACATACAAGATAAAAAAATAAATAAAAATAAAACTAACTTTATTTTCTGACTTTCACAAAAGACCAAAAATAAACGCTTTACATGTATTTTTCAGCAACTTCGTCAAATAATTTTATAGCTTTATCTATCTCATCTACTTCAAACGTTTCTTTACCTTTCGTGGGAGCACCATACATTTTCTCAAAAACTTCAAGCAGTTCTGTTTCAGCAGCTCTCATATCATTAACAAACACAACCTTGACTCTATTGACTGTACTGTCATATCTTTGAGTTATATTATATGTCCTTCCTATCTTATATCTTTTTGTGTTGAAGTCCTTCGGTTTCTGAACGATGTAAAGTAAGCCTTCACTGCAACGTTCCGTATCGAATGAACCATATGTTATGAAGTTATATCCAACAACTGGGTCTAACCATAACAAAACTATTGGTATAAGACTTTTGTCTATAAGATATGCTCTTGTTCCATGAAATGCTACTGATATCATAAGCTCAGGATTTCTTGTCAAAATTTTCTGAGTTGAAGCATTTCTAACCCAGTCGTTTGTTTTCTTTCCAGATGGAGATATAATGTCTGACAAAGAATATTTGTTGTATTTCTTTGAGTATCTTACGTTTAAATCACCTATTCTAACCACTTTGGTGTCATTGTCTATCTTTCTAACTGTTTCAAACTCAATGTTTGTCATTACTGTCTTTACATACAAAATAAAAAAATAAATAAAAATAAAATTAGCGTTATTTTTCTAACTAATGAAATTCATTATTTTTGTGCTGAATTCAATAAAAATAATTTTTAGGTGAAGAGGTGAGATCTCACCTTTTTTTCACCTAATTTTTCACCTCTTTTTTCACCTATTTTTTCACAAGCGTTTTACATGAATTGTACGATGTATATTTGAAATCCTAAACAATTTCGTAGCTTCAATTTCTTCTTTTAGTACATCGAATGTTTTAATCATGCCGAAAGTCTCTTTATATTTCTTCTTGACGTCAGACAGAAGGAAATCTTCTGCAGTTGGATAGTTTTTGTTCAGAAATGTCAACATATCCATTTTATCTTCTGCTGGCTTTTCTGCTTCTTTCTTTAAGTCTGCATAGTCGTTTCGCATTCTTTCTATCTCTTTGATTGAGTAGTTATATTTTCTTATTGCTGCTTTACATTTTGAACATTGCGGATTCATTTTTGCGTTATACATTGAAATAAAACCAGCTAGAACAACTAAGGCGTCAATGGTTTTCTTTAACTCAAAAGCTGTTGGTTTTAACTGTTCATGCCATACCTTACCTCTTCTATCTTTATCTCTTATTTCCCAAACACATTTTGCAACTAATGAAACAAAGTTATCGTATGTCTTAAACTCCACCGATTTATATATGTCAGAAATATTTTTATAAACCATGTCGCAATCTTTGTCCATAACTTTATGGTTGCAATGATATCCTAGAAACTCATAATTTACTTTACGTATGAATTTCTTTATTTCTACTGAGTCAGTTGGTTTCACTTCTATTTCGTCGAATTCAGGAATAGTTAGTTTTTGCTGTTGGATTTCAGGCAATTTGGGTAAATGGTCAATAATGTCCTGCATTTCATAAAGATACTGTTCATTTGTTTCATCTTTCGCACTATAGTCTAAATTACTTGTTAAAAGTTCTTGCTTTATCTTCTGGATTTCTGTTTCAAAAATATATGAAGAAGGAATAAAGCTTTTCATCTCTACCAACATTGACGTAGGATTCATGACTAACGAGTTTGGTGCTGTAGTTGTGGCTTGAATTGTTGTTGTGCCGATTGTTGAAATCATATCTTTTATACAAAATAAAAAAATAAATAATTTTAAAACTAACTTTATTTTTTCTATCTTAAGGAAATTCATGAAAATTCGTGAGGGTGAGAAAACAGGTGAGAAAACGGGTGAGATCTCACCTCTTCACCTAAAATATATTTTTGGTGTAAATTTATGACAAAAATAAATGGTACCATTAATAATACATGACTGTTCTCATTCATGTCTGATTTACATCTAATGAAAAAGTTTAGAAGAATTTTCTTATTCTTTCTGGCTTATTTTTGTCTTTCCAGTACTCCCGCTCTAATGGTCCCAGATGTGTTGGCTTTGACTCTCTCAAGTTCTTAGATGGTATAACATCTTCAACGCCTCCTTCATATCTTACTTTATAAGTGTCATCGTTTATGTTGTAGCCAAGTATTTCAATAACCACTCCTCGCTTTGCTTCGTCAATGGTTTCAGCAAGTTTGCCATTACTACTTTCGACTAATTTGTGACGAGGGTAAAACGCAATAGAGTCGTCAGCAGCTTTTATAAGATATCCATTACCTTGCGTAGAGTCTACGATATAATAGTTTCTACTTAACCTTAAACGTTTCTTTGTCAACGGTTTGTCGTCAAGAACTACACGAACTTTTGTACCAGGAATGAGGGTAAATTGTGTTGAATTTCTGATATTTTGTGTTTGGCTTCGTTTCTTTTGTATATACTTTTCTTCTTGTTGTTGTGTCATTGAATTTGGTGTATGTCCTGTTGTAAAATGTGTTGAGGAATTATATACTTCGAGAAAATGTTTCATTGTTTCTTCAGTAAAGTCTCGCTCTTGGTTTAAATCTCTGAGCGTTCTTATGAAGCGGTTTATGATGCCGAGTATGTTATGGTTATGGTCTTCAGTAGTGTAGTGAGTTATGTTATGCTTAATGAGAAAATCTGTGATTTCATTGCTGAGGTATGCACTGTCTTGGTCTGATGTTAAAGTACTTGGGCTATGTTCTGCTACAAACTTTTGTAAAACTCTTAACACTTCACGAGTTCCTTTATTCCTCATTGGATATGCATATGCTTTACGAGTGTTAACATTAATGAAGATGAGGAATGGTTTATGTCCTCCTTTCTTACTCTGAACGAGAGTGTCAAATTGGTATGCGTCAGGAGTGTTGGAGTAAATTGGTAAAAAGTAGTCGTAAGGGTTTATTTTTGTTTGATGTACAACATTTTTGTCAAAGAACCTTTTCACTTCAGCTCTGTTAGTAAATCCCCAACTCTTTGCAGCTTCATTGAACTTCTTAAATGACCTCCATGGATGTTGTTCGAATACTTCTTTCAAGCTCATTTATGTAAAGTTAAATTTAGTAATTTCATGCTGTTCGCTCTTTTGGAGCTCAGGACTTTCAGGCCGTTCTAACCCATGCATAAACCGTCATATAAGGTGGCATATAGTCTGCTCCACTTCCTGTTGGATTTGTTGTGAAAGTATGGACATGATTTCCTCCTGGTTCAGTTTGTCGAAAAGTCTTTTTTGCTGAATTGTTATAAGATGGAGATAAAACATCATTGCCAGCTTTATATTCTGAGTTGTATAATGGGTGGTCTCGTAATGAGTGGCTATGGTCGCCAGAAAAGTTTGTCGTTCCTGTATGAGTGTGCGCAGGTAAGTTTGCTTCAGTAATTTTCTTCGAACCCCCTGTTTGCTTTGAAGAGTTAGCACAGTATAAGAATTTGTCTACAATCTGCTGCCACGTACCAAAGCCCAGAACTGTTGCTGGATTTGTTGAATTCATTGACGTATAAATAGAACCAACAGAATATATGGTTTGAAGAATCTGGGCCTTCATTGTTAGAAGTTCATGTTTAACGTTTATAGCTTTATTGCCTTCTACAATATTTATATTGTTTGTTATTAAACCATTAGGAAAAGTAGGAGGATAAATTCTTTGTTCTTGTACAGTTGCACCGTTTCTTCCTGTTTTTGTTACTATTTCGATGCATGCTTTAATTTCTTTAATCTTGATTGTTTGAAATTCTTCATGTGTATGGTTCTTGTCGGCTTTTCCATTAAGCGCAGCATTTACTTCCGACTTCTTTGTATAATTTTCATCTACATAAGTTTTGTCTGCTTTCTTATCTAACATTGCTGGTAGTTCGTATGCTTCAAAGTTTCTGGCATGACCTTCAATGTTCATACATCTGTTATCTAAATTGTTTAGTGTATCTTTTACGCTTGTACTTGGATTCTCTAAAGGTGCACTTGAACCAAGGGTATAGTTCAATATTATGTCGTCTGCTCTAACAGTAGTGAAGGATTCATGTGTATGGTTCTTGTAGGCTTTACTGTCTAATGTAGCTTGAAGTTCATTTATATCGGAGATGTTGTGTTTATGAGATTTCAAAACTTTGTTCATTGCTTCGAGTTCAACTTTGTCAGCTTTACTTTTAATAGCATCTTCAAACGTTATTTTTGCCTTAACTCTCAAAGTAAATCTTGGTTCAACTAATACACCGTTAACATTGAAAGTAGAGGCATAAATTTCACCGGTATAACCAAATGCTTCTGGTGCTTTAGCTACATCATACTGTACAGTACAGCTTATGTCATAACCTTTAGCACGAATGTATTTATATCTTCTTTCATTAACATTTTTTGTCTTCGCTTCATCACTTCGTGTTAAATATCCATGGTAGTCCGTTATAATCTGTTCGTCTGAAGTTATATAATGAATGTGGTTCTTGACTTTATCACTCAGAGCTAAAAGCTCATTTTTGTCTGCTTTTTCGGCTAATTTCTCATTAACATCATTCACTTCTAATTCAACTCTTCCGCCAGAACTCTTATTATCATTAATCTTTTTCATTAATTCGGTAATTACGTCATAAAGACTATATTCTGTTTTCGGTTTTGTAAATAATGAGTCAAAATTTCTTTTCATCATTACATCGCTGACATTAATGATATCACCAATTCCTTTTTCATTTATTCTCTTCATTAATTCTGCAATAATGACGAATATATAATCTGTTAATTTATTCTCTTCATCGAGGGTTATAGAATGTTTTGAAATTGAATCATTAACTCCTCTAAATAAATCAATAACTTCAGGATACACGTTTTTAATGTCTCGAATAACCCGACCAGTATCCTGTTGTTCATGTTCTTCGTTCCCGTCGTTACGTGGTTTTATATCTCTAACCATCATCAACGCAGCCATAACCGGAGGGTTTGTTGCTATCTGTTCGAAAATCCGTCCGTTATGTACGGTATATCTAAATAATTTCTTTGTGTTTGTTAAAACATTTGAAACAAGTCTTTTAAAACCATCTACAAAATTTCCTGTTTCACCTAATGTTCTTGCAGCATTTACAAGCTCACCCATGCCCGCTTTTGACCCCAAAAACGTCCATATTGCATTTATTTCACTCTGTATAGTTGTCCATTCAGCAAAATTAATTCCTGCATTCGCTAAGCTGAAAATGAAATTCAGTGGATCGAACTTAATTCCACCTTCTTTTTCAATTTCAACGAACTCACTAACATGAGATTTTAAATATTCTTTCGTTAAAATTGTTTTCCCTGATGTTATGTCATTAACGAAACTATCACCGTCAAAAGTTAACGAATTCAATTTCGTCGTTGATGCTTTTATTTCATACACCGCTTTATCGATAGTTTTTGGCTCACCTTCTTTAGAAGCATATGAAACATTAATGAATGAATTATATGTATTCGTGAATGAGTTAAAATCAATGATTTTCATTAATGACGCCTTTAATGATTCATTTACTGTCGAATCCCTTAAAGCAATTAATGAACTGTCATTTATGAAAGGTACACTGCAAACCGTCGAGTTTGGATCAAATCCTGTAGTTGGTGCAGGAATATTAATGATATAAGTCATTAAATCATTAAGTGACGTAAATAATGTTGTCGTTTTTGATTTAATTTCTTTAGCATCTGTTATATATGGTAATTTCATTTCTGTAGTTTCTGAATTAAAGATATTCGCTAAAATGTTTTGTAAACTGTTTTGAACAGCTGTGTAAACCGTTGAATCCGGAACTCTTACGATTTCACCGTCCTTAATAAAAGGCATTGCACATGGTGTAGTGCTTGGATCGAATCTTTTTGGGTTATGATTCAACATATATTCTAATGCTTCATAAACAGACCTATATACTGTTGTATTATCTTTTTCAATAATTTCACCGTCCTTTATAAATGGCATAGTACATGGAGTTAAAATAGGGTCAAACTTTTCATAGTCCTTCCATGTTATGTATTTTTCAGTATTTCCATCAGTGATAACAATATATTTGTCAGTAAGTGTGAGAGAGTATTGACCAAAATATAAACGTTTAGCTCTGTCAGCTTCATACGCATATGCAGCTATACTCATATTTTAATGAGAATAAAATGTTGTTCTATTTGCAAAGTACAGACCCAAACGAATACGGGACAGTAAAGCTACAAACAAACTTAGGTCTACAGAATGAGGCGCTTGCATTCAGAATGGTTGACTTCAATACTATCGCTTCATTCGTTATAACAGATGAAACAGATTTCATGGAGCTTGAAATAGATGGAAAGAAGCACGAAATAAGATTTCACAATAATGTAGAATATAAGATGGAAACATTAGCTGGAGTGTTAAATGCTCTCATAAGTACTACAATAAACAAGGATAACGGAGAAAACTTAATGAATGTTAAACTTATTGCAGGAGTTTTGAAGTTCAGTTATGCGAAAGAGTTTAAGATACCAAGAATGAGTCATAGAGTTCAATTGCTTCTGGGAGCATACCATATGACATTTCCTTTGAAAAGTGTTGACAAAACGATTGAGATGAAATCTGTTCCATACGTATGTTATGGTAATTGTTTGTACATTGAGTCTAAAATAGCTAATGTCACAGGCATTTCAGGAGTTAATAGTAAAGGTTCAGTAGAATATAAATCCTTCTGTTATGCAGTCAATTCAATGTTCATTCCAAACGTTCCTGTCATAGCAACTCATTTAGGTAAATGGGTTCGCATTAGTCCTCATAATTTGAAAGACATGCAATTCAGACTTGTTGACTTTCAAGGAGAGCCTGTAGAACTGAAGGCACCAGTGCGAATGACTGTTGAAGTTGACTTTTTAGAAAATATTAAATGCAACAGCTTACAAGAGAACTCAGAGCTAAAAATATAAAGTCTGAATTGCATGTATTAGGTCATGAACTTTGGTTGTTGCTGTTTGATGAAACAAATGAATTAGTTATGTCAGTCAAGAGAACAGAAAAATATTGTGTTAGTGAAAACTGCACCAAGTCAATAAGATTAGGTTTGCATTATGAAGATGAGTTCGATACTGTTGAAGAAGTTTTGGATAGATATTACAAATTGCTAACTTGAAATTTTTTTTGACTGACGGCGCAAAGCGCCAAGATGGGCTCAAAGAGCCCTCCTGACTGCTTTAATTTACTAAAACATATTTCAAACAAAGTTTATATTCTGTTGAAAGTTTTGTATATTCGTTCGAATATTTATACTTAAACTCAACTCCTGTAGTTCCTGGTGTTTCAATGATGCGGATGTTACCTATTTTCATGAATATTGGCGTTTGACCACAGCATTCGATTTCAGGGTCGAGATAGTCAATGACACATTGCTTTCCTGTTATTCGTGATATAACATTTTCAAGGTCCTCCTTTGTTAGAATTATTTGGTTCTTACTTATAAGATTTATCAAAAGCTTCTTATCGTCTTTGAGTAAAATTGTTTGGTATAACTGAAGAAGGTAATGGTCTACGTTATCTGAAGGATTTGTTTGAACATTTATGTAAGGGTTGTCGTTGGCTTCTCTTGAAAGAATTTGGTCCAGTGGTGGATACTCTAACTTAACATCTGATGTAGCGTTAGCGTTTGAAGCTGTGTTTAAATTCACCGACTTAAGTTCTGGTTCTTTTTCTTTCAAACACTCTGAACTATAGTTCTTTATGACAATATTGTTTGTCGTTCGTGAGTCAACATTTGATGTTGGTTCAATTGGAACATTAACAGCACCAGCTAAGATGGATTTGCTTCTCATTTCATATAGAATAAAAACCTTTTATATGTATGAAATGAACAATATACTCGACAAGGGTTTGAATGTAAAGCTAACGAATGAAAATATTGTTGAATTCACTGAGACAGGAGCTGTGTATAAAGATGTAGAACTACTGAACAAAAGAGCTAAGGGAAGAAGCAGGAATATGAACAAAGGGTGGAAGCCTATAAAAATTTATGTCAATGATGGCTCAGGAGGTTCAAACATAAAGTATGCAGAAAGTTATAGAGTTTATGCTCTCAAAGGTGAAAAGCCTTCATTTAAGAACAGCTATTCTAACGCATATCCTCAAAAGCTAACGGATGGGGAAGTGGATGATATGAATGACAGCAAAAATATTAACAGAAATGGCGACAGAGATGCATGGAATTTGTTTACCATCAGTCAATTAAAGCATAAGATTTAAAACAATGTTGGTCGTTCCCATGGAATATTTTTGACTTTAATGGTATTAGTTATGATATGAATCTCAAGGTATGAACGAGGAGAGATGAGAGACTTATATGCTTCCCAAATTTCTTCAAAAGGTAATGTTATACCTGACTGTTTCCAAATGAGTTCAATATCATAGCGTGAGAAACCTTGAAAGATAACGAAGTCAGTTATGAGACGTTTTATGTTTAAAGCAAGAAAACGCCATGTTTGCATAAGTATTGCTACAGTTAAGTGGTAATGTCTGACTTTAGTTATGATGTTAGCTAATGGTGAGTCAGGCTTTGACACTAAACCTTTTCCGGCGAAGTCGTCACAAACGAGCAGAGTGTTTGAAGGATACTTTTTGAAGGGGTATTTTGAAAGTTTTGATAGAATGTAGTTTGTAAGTCGTTTCATATCGTAAACTCCTGAGTATTGACGTAAGTGGTGTTTGTCAATAATTCTTTCCATCTCTTCTGAAGTCTTTTGCATTCCTGACTGTATGAACTCTACAATAGCATAATATTTTCTCTTACGTCGAATGTAACGTTGAAGAAATTCAATGAGTTCGCTATCTGGAACTTTAACGACAGATGCTTGAACTTTACTCATGAATGTTTTCGCTGTTGAATCCATAGAGTCTGAAGTTGCTGATATAATGATTTGGTCATAGTAAGAGTCGTTTCCTAAACGCTCTGTTATGAGTATATGACGAATGAGGTTAAATGTCTTACCTGAACCCATCTTTCCACAATAGAAATAAACACCATTTGAACAGAACTCATAGTCCTTGCTGAAAGGAAGAATGAGAGAAGAGTTAAGTTTGTCTGTAGTTTCATTCATGTCTTCATCTACGTCATGTATTAAATGCTTCATTTTATCTCCATTAAAAATGCAAGTCAGAAATATTCAGAACATAGCACCGAGTCTAACTGACAAGAGTATAAAGATATACTATGAACATGTTATGATGAAACCTACCAAAATTCAAGAAAGTCAGTATACTTATGAATATCCAAGACACTGGGTAGAGTATGTAGGAGGTGAGAAAGCTATTGAAATCAGACAGGTTCGAAGTATTCCAGCAGGAAGAACAATATTATTGAAGAACTTTAATGTTTTGAGATATAATGATGAAACAAAGAAGCAAGATAGTTTCCCTGTTGCTGTGTATGTGAACTTAGATACAGGAGATGACATGAAAGTTTTTAATACAAAGCTTCAAACGGTAGTGAGAGAACAACTGACTGCGGAAGGGCATCCATTACCTTCAGAAGTTACCATAGCATATAATTTTGAAACAAACTCAATAGATTTTAAAGTCATCTCTGCAAAGAAGTCAGGTTTTACATTTAATGAAGCAGATGTATATTCGAATGAAAACTTCAAAGCTATTGCATGGTTAGATAATGACGATTGCTTTAAGAAAATATTTAAATACAGTGACTCAACGATGTCAATAGATGACCTTCGTGGAATGTTACCATCGACATTTACAGTAGAAGGTTCAGCAGGATTGCTTACAAGATTGTCAATTGGTGGTATTTGGTCTCGTGAGAACATTGTTATAAAATCCAGTATAAGTGAATTTGCTGAAGAATCTATATTATGTCTTTCAAACTACATGTATTCGCCGCCAAAGCATTATAGTATAACAAACTTTGTCAGTAAGTTTAACATAAGACTTGTCGAACCTTCTTCAATGAAAGATGTTGTGCTACCTAAAGATGGAAAGGATGGACTCATTATTGAGATGATTTTAATAGCATATTAAATGAGCTTGTTCTTGAAGGTCATTCATGATGAAATAACTGTTGTAGAAGATGTTAGCAATTGTTCAGACATTTTGAAGCGTATAGATGATATAAGAAATAAGTTAGATAGACCGCAAAGCAGTGAGGGCGAAGCCCGTGAGAACGCTTATGTTTCATTGACTTTCTCCAGTAACGAGAACTTTTATGAGATAATATTGAAGAGAGATGATTTTAATATGGGGTAAATGGTAGCTTGGGCAGCTTTAGGCGCAATGGGAACAAAAGCATTAGCATTTGGAGCAAAAGCACTTGGAGCTTATGACGCAGTAAATAAAATGAGTGGAGGAAGGGTTTCAAAGACATTAGATGCAAATAAAGGAAAGATTGGAGGCTGGGTTGCAAAGAAGTTAAGATTAAATAAAATGGGGCTCATAAATAAAGCATCCAATTTGGTTGCGACTGAGTCAGAAAATGCTTTAGGAAAGGACGATGAGTTTGCAAAACACGCAAAAGACTTTAATGACCAGATGAAAGGTGAAACAATGCATTTAAATAGAGTCGATGGAACTAAAGAAAATGTTTCTTCTCCACCAGTAGTTCTTCCGTATGGTCCCTATGGAATGTATGGAAACCCTTACGAAAGACCATTTGACCCATTGACTGGTGGAAGTAACTGGTATCATTACGGCCGAAGAAGAAAGACAGTCAAGTTGGAGACAGACGTGAAGAAAGCAACTAAAAAGAAACCAAGGAAGAGAGTTATAAAGCAATGAATTCAACAGGGTGAAAAAAACAGGTGAAAAAAGAGGTGAGATTTCACCACTTCACCTAAATTTATTTTTGTGCTATGTTTTCATACGCGTGAGGGTGGTGATATCATTTATTTTTAAGTTTATTTTTTATTTTATTTTTATATAAATGACGAAAACTATTGAGATAACAAACTACAACGGTCATGAGTTCAAGAATTTGTTCTTCGTTCCTCGTGAAAATACATTCTATCAGATACGAGGGAGAAAGGGTAAAGTTAGTTTGAGCGTTTATGAAGGAATGAAGAATGGAAAGTTTATACAAGCATACGATACAAACGGTAAGCGTGTTTCATTAGCTTTGTCAAAACTTACTAACATTTATTTTGACAGTGACTTTGACTCTGACGATTGGAGCGACAGCAGCGATACTGAAGAATATGAACTATTGTGTGAAGCACAGCAATGGGAAGAGTTGCAATACTTTTGTAAGTGAGAACGTTTATTTTTACAGTAGTGAAGTCGTTTGTGAAAACGTTAGTGAAGTCGTTTGTAAAAACGTTAGTGAAGTCGTTTGTAAAAACGTTACGAACAACACTCTAACTGCAACAAAAGACCTAGGCTGAAAGATTGTAACATATCGAATTAAATCATTGCTAAGGGTGGTTATCTAATCCATATTCAGTAACTCGTTGTTTGTAAAGTTTACTTTTTTCAGCAAGAAATTTCATAAGTTTATGAACAGTATCAACGAAATCCCATGGCATTGTGGTCAATATTAATAATAATCAGCAATCTTCATTGTAATGAATTTTGGATTTGAGCTTACTGAAAGTAAATATATCGGTACAGATAACTTGAAAAACGTAAATTTGTATGAATATGGCTTGATTCAATCCTTCAAGATATTGATACATTTGATCTGATGAATTTGCTAAATAAGTGTAAATTTCTTCAAAAATTCTTGTTTAGAAATGTAATGAGGTTTTATAAATTTTAAAAAAGTATAGCATTTGTCTTGTGCTTGAGCATAATATGAGTAAATTTTTGTTGGACTAAGATCAGGGTCAGATTATAATTTTTCACTAAGATCAATACATGATTTACAACTCTTCAGAATTATCAACAAAGATAACTACATCTTGAAGTAATTTGCTTATAACATCTCTGGTGAGATATTGTA